GTCATCAACAAATCGAGCCTCATCCCAATACAACGTCAAATTAGCTATCTCCGGACCAGAATTAGTCCCCATCGGGATGCCAATCAACTGATGTCGCAAGGTGCCGTCCGCTGCATAAAGATAAGTGTTTGTGACAATGAAATGGAGATGTTCAAGAATTTGGGAAATGGTCAAGGTGTTTGGTCCGGTATCAACCGTCCACTCCCCTTGACGAGGCCCTTTAACAATCATGTTAACGGTAGGAGGATGTGTGCGCCCCTGTGTGTGCTGTTGTAAGGCATATGTATAGGCTTCCTCGACCGCTTTTGAAACATTATGACAAATACGGTTATGAGGAAGATTGGTATACATAGTTGTGAAATCAACAGTGCGAGGAGCATGGTCACAAAGAGAAGAGGAGCTACGTTTGAGATCAAGCATCACCTCCTCGGCGCTTTGCACGATCCAGCACCGTCTCACACCGCTTTGCTGATACAACACATTATCCTTCTCACGGAGAGTTTCAATGACTCCCTGTAGTGCAACGCTGAGGCGGGCAGAAGTGACGGTAGTACTGGCCAAGGGTTTGTGGAGAGGTCGATGGTGGACTGCATGAACAGATGGCGCAGTTGATCGAGATCGTTGCAACAAGGAGAGATTATTCCGCTCTGTGACGCCGACAATACTACGAAGCCCAGGGGGCGATTTGTGTGCTTTAAGTGCATAGTACAGATATGGCAGCGTGTCTTTGTGTGTATATCCCCACCGATGATTCCAGAGCGCGTGATGTTCCAGAATATCTGCGACAGACTCAAGAGGCACATCATAGGTAGGGCTGTCCAAATGAGCAGATAGATGAGACAGGTACCAATTTCTACGACAGATTGCTAAGTTATGTGAGGTCTTGTCGACAGGAATAATAGCAAAGTGTTGTTGAAGGTGTCTCAAAGCCCTGTGCACTGAGTGAAGAGAGTGCGGTTGTCGTGTAGTAATATGGGGGGATGAGATGTTGCTTTGGCAACGTGTGAGAACAGCTGAGTGCCACTGCTGCAATTTGCTCAGAGTGGCCAGCCGAAGCTGCTCGGAGACTGACCTCAGGTATTTAGCAATATACTCGTCAAGGCCGACTCTAACAGCCTGAAGCACATCAGTGATTTGTCCATTAAGACGATACTTCGAGCCTTCATGGAACAAGTCGCGGAGGCGATCATCAGGAATGATATCGCAGTCGGCTGTAACAACATGGCCGTCGACTAAGTGTGAGCAGTCAGGAAACACTTTCCGGCATTGACAGTCTGAGGGGTCAGGCAGGGAGATCCCAGGTGTGACACTGAGCACAACTTCTGTGAAATTAGAGAATTGGACGCGAGTTGGCGGCAACAACTTATCACAGATACGCAGGTGTGCTGCGGCATCAGGGTCAGGGTGCAAGTGGAGCACCTGGGGTGCATGCTGGGCTTGTCGCAGCCCCGTTACCTGAGACCCCTCGTGCATGTGTACAACTTTAATATGATCAAGGAAGGCATCTCGAGACTGAGTTGTGTATCGCTGGCTTCCGAATCAGGCATTCAAGCTGACGGATATGCGCAGTCATATCTGCATTGGAGATATTATTGCTCAACCACTGCAACAAGCGGGCACGCCAAACTGACGTTGCTTGCTGGATGACAGATTCCATCTGTTGCGAATTGCCAGCAGCAGCCTGTGAGAGAAGATTGTGCAATGCAGACCGGACTTGAAAGTCGGGGCCTGGACGCAAATCAATAGGCTGGGGTTGTTGATGGTCTGACGGACGAGGGCCTGTCTGTGTCCACCGATGAGGACGACATTGTCGTCTTCTTGCAGGCAGGCGAGCAAGCGGTAGGACAGCGTTGAGACCAGTTGGATTAAGAGTCCGCAACCGGCGTACCCAATAAGCTTCCCGTGTCGTAGCAGCCCGTCGAAAAAGGTTACGGTCAACAAGACCTTGCGGTGTATGGTAAAGGGCCGGGTCAATACGTTCCAAGGGCCAGACTGCAAAATTGAAGGGGTTTTGACAAGACATGACACTGCAGAGCCGGCGACGCCGAAACTCCGCAGCAGAACAACGAACATGCCAATGTTCCTGCAAACGTTGATGCGAGGAGTGCATAGTCTGACCTATGTAAAGACGCCCAGAGGGGATATGAACGATGGCATAGATCACTCCCCGGACAAAGAGAGGGTCCATACCTGATTGCAGTGCCTGCTGATCAATGCCTCTCAGCTGCAATTCAAAACGCTCTGTTTGAATCGCCATGTTAAGTTGTTGCAACTGCCTCTTGCGCCAAGTGCCTGCAGAGTAGAGGTCAGTATTCCAGCGAAGGTGCCGAATCCAATCAACACGAAGTGTGGAATCAGCGTGTAGATGAGGTTGGGAGGAAAAAGCAGAGAAGAATCGATGATTATTATGAGAAACTATACCTAAAGTAGTGTCGACAGGAAATCTTCCAAGAATTCCCTGATCCACCGTGTCTAATGCAGTGTCAACAGGAAATCTACCAAGGATTCCCTGACCTATGTTGCTTGGAAATACGCCTACCATGCCAGTAGTAGGAAACTTCCCGAGAATCCCCTGATTAATCCCTTGTGTTGAATTCATTTGTTTAAAAGTAACGTTTATTTTTTTTTATTTTTCATTTTTTGGTCAGAGAAGAGACGAAGAGGTGCACAGAAAGGCAGGGTTTTAGGCCCGGCGGCCAGTTCGGGAACTGATCCTGCCGCCGTCCTGTTCGTATGGTATTCACCATTAGCAGTGAGTTAACAAAATGTTGGTTCATGTATGACTCTGCATCCCCCGGTGAGTGTGTCGTGACCCTGTGTGATCCAATGTGATCCTAGTGCTCACAGCCTTGCACCGACAGACCAACAGTGTCAGTTCAGCAAAAGCAAGCCAACYTGTAGGCTTTATTAATGTGTGAGGATTACACGAAAGAGTGCGATACGAAGAGGTGAGATGGGCATGGGGGCTGCCACCCGGGTTTGGCTAACCTTAGGTGGGCCGTAACTATACCCACTAC